GGTCCTTTTTTTTTTTTTTTTTTTTTTGGGGGGTTTTTTTTGTTTTTTGTGTTTTTTTTTTTTGGGGGGGGTTTTTTTTTTTTTTTTTTTGGTTTTTTTTTTTTTTTTTAATGGAGAGAGCTTTGTAATAATATCTTAATTTTCTGCCGTGTATTCAACACCAGACAAAACAGATATTATACAAAATTAAGTGGTGGTTGCAAAGGAATTTCTTACAAAATAAGCAGAAGCTGTTTACATTTTGAACTGCTGGCATTGGCACACTTGGCATTTTTGACCAGGAGCTTACAGGCTCTCATAATTGTAAAGAGTGGGCTTTGAGCAGTGTATTCTTTCTTCCTTTCTTTTTTTCCACAAAGTTGAAAAGACCATTTCACGTTTTTTTAAAAACCAAGATAATTAAAAGTAGTTTGTAGCTTTGTTTGTAGTTTTTCAGTAAAATAGACGAATCCATTTACAATTAGCTTAGGACACTGTAGGATATAGGGTGTCAAGGAGCTTTCTGGTTTTCTTTCCTCAGTCGGTATTAAGCTATAAAGTAACGTGGTAATTCCTCTCGTTGAACCATTTTAAAGAGTCAAATGAGTGATGACAGAAAACAATAAAATCTACTTGGAACTCCCTCGGGTGAGTGTGCTTTCTCGAGATCACTTGCCACCGTCATCGCCAACGAAAAAGCCAACTCAATAGCAAGATTTCGGGAATAAATCCGTGTATCTGGAGTGGAATTTATGCAAGGGAAATCAGAACGACCTGAGAAATAGGACGGTCTCAGAAGTCGGAGCAAGGTAGAGGAGATTTTTCTGAGTGGAGCTGAGGTCTGAGATGCTGCCTTCAGCCCATTCCCAAAGGCTCCCAGCAGGAGAAGTCATAAACTGCGGGAACAATCTCTGTCCATTCCGAGAACGACTTTGGCGATTCCTGCTGTGGTTAAAAGACCACCTCACCTGGTGGCAGGACCCCTGTAGCAATACACAGCTGTTCTAGCTGAACAGTCGGAGAGTAATTTATTCAAAGCTTTCACAATGGGGGCAAGGGAGGGGGAACCAAAACAAAAGGAACAACCCAGCTCTAAATAAACTTAATTTTGAAGTAGAAGGCAAACAGAGGCTTTGCTCATTCAACCAGTGGCCATACTTCGAATACGGTTGTATGGACATTTAAATATCTATGCTTTGACCTAGGGAGAGAGAAAACGAGCCGTTAATCTCTGCTTTCCAGGCTTTGCGGTGGGAAATCTTGGAATCCTTCTACAGATCGGCCGCCTGATGCCGCTGCTGACCGCGGGAGCTCCGCGCAGCTCCCAGTTCCGCCGAACCCGCGATTCGGGCGGGTGGGGCGGACTGCACCATTTCGGGCTGCTCCGCTCGGGGGTCGGCAGGTTGTATCGGCAGCTCCATCCAGCTTACAGGAGAGGAGATCGGGTCTCTGGAAGGGAATGAAACCGAGGAAGAGCGAGGAACCGCTCCCGGGGCGAGCAGGCGCTCTGATCCTTGTCCTCTGCCTCTCGGGGATGGGAGCAGAAACCGCTCGGTACTCTGTGCCCGAAGAGGCGGAGAGAGGCTCTTTTGTGGCGAATATCGCTAAGGATTTGGGACTAACCGGTGAGGAGTTATTGGCTCGTCAGGCTCGAGTAGTTCCTGAAGGAGAAAAGCAGTATTTACAGCTGAACCAGCACACCGGGGATTTGGTGGTGAGAGAGCAAATGGACCGGGAAGAGCTGTGTGGACAGAGCGAGCCCTGCTTGGTGCGCTTTCAGGTGCTGCTGGAGAACCCACTGCAGTCCTTCCGAGCTGAGGTAAGACTCGCCGATATAAATGATCATGCTCCTGTGTTCTTAAATAAAGAGATAATTTTAAAGATGCCGGAATCTGCAATGCCGGGCACTCGGTTTTTGTTGGAAAGCGCTAACGATCCAGACGTGGGGAACAATAGTCTTCAGCATTATAGTATCAGCTCGAACGAGTATTTCCATGTGTACACCCAGCGGAGAAATGACGGCGGGAGGTATGCCGAGCTGGTGTTGGATCGAGCCCTGGACCGAGAGCAGCAGGCAGAAGTTGCTTTCATAATCACGGGTGTGGATGGTGGGACTCCACCGCGGTCTGGCACAGCTTTAATCCGCGTGGTAGTCCTGGATATAAACGACAACATCCCGGTATTTACCCAGACTCTGTATAAAGTCTCTGTAATGGAAAATAGCTCAGAGAACAGCATAGTGGCCGTAGTGTCTGCTAGCGATTTAGACGCAGGAACGAATGGGGAAATAGTGTATTCCATCTTTCAAAATTCAGAAGAAAATCTCCAAACGTTTGAAATAAACCCAGAGACAGGTCATATTCGACTCAAAAAGTCTTTGGATTATGAAGAAAAAAAGACCTATGAGATAGATGTCCAAGCCATAGATGGAGGGGGCCTGTCCACGCATTGCAAGGTGGAGGTGCAGGTGAAGGACGTGAACGACAATGTCCCCGAGGTGATCGTCACCTCGCTCACCAGCACCCTCTCAGAAGCCGCCCCGCCGGACACCGTGGTGGCCCTCTTCAACGTCAGGGACCGGGACTCGGGGGACAATGGCAGGACGACCTGCGAGCTGATGGGAGAGCAACCCTTCAGGATCACTCTGCTGGCAGCCGACGCGTACGCGCTGGTGACATCAGAGACGCTGGACCGGGAGCAGGTGGAGGAATACAACGTGACAGTGCGAGCTCGAGACGAGGGCTCCCCCGCCCTCTCGGCATCCAAGAACCTGCTCGTGCGGCTCTTTGATGTGAACGACAACGCACCCACCTTCACCCAGGCCATTTACACCATGGTGATGAGCGAAAATGAGCCCGCGGGGAGGAGCCTGGGCCGTCTCAGTGCCACGGACCCTGATGCGGGAGAGAACGCCCGTGTCAGATACTCGCTAGTGCCGCCACTGACAGGCACCCTCACCGCGGCATCATTCGTGTCAGTGGACGCGGAGAGTGGAACTGTCCGGAGTTTGCGCCCACTGGACTACGAGAAGGTCCCTGCCTTCGAGGTGAGAGTGCGCGCAGCCGACGGCGGCTCCCCGCCGCTCAGCGCCCAGGCCGTGCTGCGCATCGTCGTGCGGGACGAGAACGATAACGCGCCCGTGCTGCTGCACCCGGCCCCCGACAGCAGCGCGGCCGGAGAGCTGGTGCCGCGCTGGGCACCCTCCGGCTACCTGGTGGCCAAGGTGGTGGCGGTGGACGCGGACGCGGGGCAGAACGCGTGGCTGTCCTACGAGCTGGCCAAGGCCACGGAGCCGGCGCTGTTCCGCGTGGGGCTGCACAGCGGCGAGGTGCGCACGGCGCGGGCCGTGACAGAGAGGGACGCGGCCCGGCAGAGGCTCATCGTGCTGGTGCGGGACCGCGGGCAGCCGCCGCGCTCTGCCACTGCCACCCTTGCCGTGGCACTGGTGGACGATTTCTCCGATGCCTTCCACCAGCTTGGCCACGATCCTGCGAGCGGACAGCAGCCGCAGATTGCCGAGGAGGAAATGCTCACCACTTACCTCATTGTCTCCTTGTGCTGCGTCTCATCCCTTTTCCTCTTGTCCGTCCTCGTCTTAACGGCGAACACCCTCTGCAAAGCTCGTGTCCGGGCAGAGCTTCCTCCTCCCTCTCCCAGATGCTACGCGGACGAAGATTTCTCCAGCGACGGCTTGGGCGTGGGCAGCACGGGCACTCTGTCGCCGGCTTACCGCTACGAAATGTGTATGACCAGCGGCTCGGGGAGGAGCGAATTCCGGTTCCTGAGACCCATCCTGCCCAGCCTTCATAGCAATGCTGAGGCGGGGCTGGACAAGGACGAGGAGCCGCTACGCCACTCGCAGCCTGCCTGCGACCGGGAAGCCCAGGCGGGGAGAACAGCCTCTCCTCCCTTTTAGCCGCAAGGCTGGCCAGTAGGCGTGCGCGTCCCTGCCTGAGCCGTGCTGGAATGCGATTCCCTTCCCCATCCTCAGCCTGAGATTCCCCACTTGTTGTAGTGCCGTTCGCTGCTGTTGTAGGCGTACTCTCCCTGCTTAGACTCCAGGCCAGTTTCTCCTGCCGTGGAAGGCAGCCCAGTCCCTCCGAGTTCAGCCTCTGATTCATGCTTCCCTAGAAAATCCTTGTGCCGCACTTGCCACGGCGTTTCTCGGAGGGTGCAGATTCGCCTGTCGCTAGACTACAGCGCACCAAACCGCAGGCTCGGGCCAGCAAGGGGCGAGGACGGACGCGGAGCAACTGCCGGTGATGATCTGGTGCCAAGACTCCCCCAAGACGAATCCCTAGCACTTCCCTTGCCAGAGGATGTGTCCTACCGAAGGAGACCCAGCTCCTGAGCGCGGCTCCGCGGGCCGGGGCGAGCGGCAGCGCGGGCTGCGGGCGGCGGCGGCTGCAGTGCCAGCGCGCACCGCTGGGTGGTGCCCTCGAATTCTGTGAGTTCAATCACCTCACTGAGATGCCTTCATCTGACCAGCGTTTGCTCTGTGACACCTTTAGGGGTTGGCCCATGAGATGTCCTCACTTTTTCAGCAGGAAAAGGAAGACTTGGAGCTGACGAGCACAGACGGGACAGCAGAGGATAAAGAGAAAGAGAGACAAGGTTGTTACTCAAACACAGCAAGCTCTGGA